AAAAGAGAGACAAGACGGCTCCACAGTAATAGTAGGAGACTCCAACACACCACTTGTGGTGAAGGATAGAACATCCAGAAACAAGCTCAATAAAGACACAGAAGATCTAAATGCCACAATCAACCAACTTGATCTCATAGGCATATACAGAACACTCCACCCAACAGCAGCCAAGTATACTTTCTTTTCCAATACACATGGAACATTCTCCAGAATAGACCACATATTAGGCCATAAAGCAAGCCTTAACAGAATCCAAAGCATCGAAACATTACAAAGCATCTTTTCTGACCATAAAGCCATGAAAGTACAAATCAATAACAAAAAAGTAAGGAAAAAAAAGTCAAATACATGGAAACTGAACCACACTTTGCTCAAAAACTACTGCATTATAGAAAAAATTAAGGATGGAATCAATAAGTTTATACAATCTAATGAGAATGAAAATACATCCTACCAGAACCTTTGGGACACAGCAAAAGCAGTGCTCAGAGGTCAATTTATAGCAATAAACACACACATCCAAAAAGAAGAAAAGGCCAAAATCAAAACATTAACCCTACAACTCAAATAGAAACAGAGCAGAAAAAGAAGCCTCAGGCACCAGAAGAAAGGAAATAATAAAAATTAGAGAAGAATTAAATAAAACAGAGAATTAGAAAAACAATTGAAACAGTTAACAAAACCAAAAGCTGGTTCTTTGAAAAGATCAACAAAATCAATAAACCACTGGCCAAACTGACAAAAGAAAAACCAGGAGAGGACGCAGAAACCCATATAAGAAATGAGATGGGTGATATCACAACAGACCCAACTAAAATTAAAAGAATCATAACAGAATACTACGAAAAATTGTACTCTAACAAATTTGAAAACGTAGAGGAAATGGGCAAGTTTCTAGAAACACACTACCCACCTAAACTAACACAAACAGAGGTAGAACAGCTAAATAAACCTATAACAAAAGAAGAGACTGAAAAAGTAATTAAAAAACTCCCAACAAAAAAAAGCCCTCGCCCAGTCTGCTTCACTGGAGAATTCTACCAAACTTTCAGAGAAGAGTTAACTACTAAAAGTATTTCAGAGTACAGAAAAAGATGGAATACTCCCAAGCTCATTCTATGAAGCCAACATAACCCTGATACCAAAACCAGGTAAAGACACCACAAGAAAAGAAAATTACAGACAATATCCCTGATAAACACAGACGCAAAAATCCTCAACAAAATTCTAGCAAATAGAATTCAACAACATATCAATAAAATAATTCACCATGACCAAGTGGGATTTATACCAGGCATGCAGGGATGGTTCAATGTTAGAAAAACAATCAATGTAATCCATCACATAAATAAAACAAAAGACAAGAACCACATGATCTTATCAATTGATGCAGAAAAGACATCTGACAAAGTCCAACACCCATTCATGATAAAAATTCTCAGCAAAATCGGAATAGGAGGGAAATTCCTCAACATAATTAAGGGAATTTATACAAAGCCAACGCCAACATCATCCTAAATGGAGAGAGTTTTAAAGCATTCCCCTTGAGAACGGGAACCAGACGAGGACACCCTCTATCACCACTCTTATTCAATATTGTGCTGGAAGTCCTAGCTACAGCAATGAGGCTAGAAACAGAAACAAAGGGCATCCAAATTGTTAGGGAAAGATAAAGTATCTCTGTTTGCAGATGATATGATCTTATACACAAAAAAACCCAAAAAATCCACAAGAAAACTACTGGAACTGATAGAAGATTTCAGCGAAGTATCAGGATACATGATGAACATACAAGAATCAGTTGGATTCCTCTACACCAACAAAGAGAACTTCCAAGGGGAAATCACCAAATCAATACCATTTACAATAGCCCCCAAGAAGATAAAATACATAGGAATAAATCTAACCAGAGACGTAAAAGATCTATACGAATGAAAACTACAAGATACCACTGCAAGAAACCAAGAGACCTGCATAAGTGGAAAAACATACCTTGCTCATGTATAGGAACACTCAACATTGTGAAAACGTCAATTATACCCAAAATGATCTACAGATACAATGCAATCCCGATTCAAATTCCACTGACATTTTTTAATGAGATGGCGAAACAAATCACCAACTTCATATGGAGAGGGAAGAGGCCCTAAATAAGAAAAGCATTACTCAAGAAAAAGAACAAAGTGGGAGGCCTCACACTATCTGATTCTAGAACCTATTATACTGCCACGGTAGTTAAAACAGCCTGTTACTTGTACAACAAAAGATACACAGACCAATGGAGCAGAATTGAGAATCCAGATGTAAATTCACCCACCTATGAGCAGCTGGTATTTGACAAAGGCCCAAAGCCCGTTAATAGGGGAAAAGACAGTCTCTTTAACAAACCGTGCTGGCATAACTGGATATCCATGTGCAAAAAACTGAAACAAGACCCATACCTCACACCATGCACAAAAACTAACTCAAAATGGATCAAAGACCTAACTATAAATCTAAAATGATAAAGATCATGGAAGAAAGAATAGAGACAATGGTAGGAGCCCTAATACGTGGCATAAACAGAATACAAAACATTACTAACAGTGCACAAACACCAAAAAAGAGAAACTAGATAACTGGGAGATCCTAAAAATCAAACACTTACGTTCATCAAAAGACTTCACTGAAGGAGTAAAAAGACAACCCACAGACTGGGAAAAAACTTTTGGCTACAACAAATCTGATCAGGGTCTAGTCTCTAAAATCTACAAGATACTGTAAAACCTCAACAGCAAAAAGACAAATAACCCAATTAAAAAATGGGCAAAGGATATGAACAGGCACTTCATCAAAGAAGACTTTTGGGCAGCTAACAGATACATAAGGAAATGATCACGATCATTAGCCATTTGAGAAATTCAAATCAAAACTACAATGAGATACCATCTCACCCCAACAAGGCTAGCATTAATTCAAAAAACACAAAATAATAAATGTTGGAGAGGTTGTGGAGAGACTGGAACACTTGCACACTGTTTGTGGGACTGTAAAATGATACAACCACTTTGGAAATCAATTTGGCGCTTCCTTAAAAAGCTAGAAATAGAAGTACCATACGATCCAGCAATGCCATTCCTTGGAATACATCCTAGAGCAATAGGAGCCATCATACGAAGAGATATATGCACACCCACATTCACTGCAGCACTGTTCACAATAGCAAAGAGATGGAAACAACCTAGATGCCCATCAACAGACAAACGGATAAACAAATTATGGTATATTCACACAATGGAATACTACGCAACGATAAAGAGTAACGATGAATCCGTGAAACATCTCATAACATGGATGAATCTGGAAGGCATTATGCTGAGTGAAATTAGTCAGTTGCAAAAGGACAAATATTGTATAAGATCACTATTATAAGAACTCAAGAAAAGGGTTAAACACAGAAGAAAACATTCTCTGATGGTTCCAAGGGTGGGGAGGGAGAGATAGAGGTACTTGCTAACCAGGCAGTAAACAAGAATTATCTTAGGTGAAGGGAAGGACAACACACACCACAGGGGAAGTCAGCACTACTGGTCTAAACCAAAAGCTAAGAAGTTTCCTAAATACAATCAAACGCTTCTAGGGACAGAGTGGCAGGAGCAGGGGTCTGGGGACCATGGTTTCAGGGGACACCTAGGTCAACTGCCATAACAAAGTTTATTAAGAAAATGTTCTACATCCCACCTTGGTGAGTAGTGTCTGGCATCTTAAAAGCTAGTGAGCAGCCATCTAAGATGCATCAATTGGATGCTCCCACCTGGAGCAAAGGAGAATGAAGAACACCAAAGACACAAGGAAAGTATTAGCCGAAGAGAGAGAAAGGGCCACATAAACCAGAGACTGCATCAGCCTGAGAACAGAAGAACTAGATGGTGCCCGGCTACCACCAATGACCGTCCTGACAGGGAACACAACAGAGAGTCCCTGATGGAGCAGGAGAAAAGTGGGGTGCAGAACTCAAATTCTAGTAAAAAGACCAGACTTAAGGGTCTGACTGAGACTAGAGGGACCCCGAAAGACATGGCCCCTGGAGTCTCTGTTAGCCCAAAACTAAAACCATTCCTGAAGCCAAATCTTCAGACAAAGATTAGACTGGACTATAAGACATAAAACGATACTCGTGAAGAGTCTGCTCTTTAGCTCAAGTAGATACATGAGACTAAATGGGCAGCTCCTGTCCAGAGGCAAGATGAGAAGGCTGAGAGGGTCAGGAGCTGGTTGAATGGACACGGGGAAATCTGGAGTGGGAAGGAGGAGCGTGCTGTCATAGTGTGGGGAGTGCAACTAGGGTCACACGGCAGTGCGTGTGTAAAGTTTTATATGAGAAACTAACTTGAACCGTAACCTTTCATTTAAAGTACAATAAAAAAAAGACAGTTACCTGATAATGCTATTTAATTACATACCAAATATACACGAATATATAATGAAAGAGTCACCCAGAAAGTTACAAGATGTTAAGAACATTTTAAACAGCAATAACCTATACATGGAAACCCCAATGGCGTAGTGGTTAAGTGCTACGGCTGCTAACCAAAGAGCCATCAGTTCGAATCCACCAGGCACTCCTTGGAAACTCTGTGGGGCAGTCCAACCCTGTCGTATGGGTCGCTATGAGCCAAAATTGACTCAACGGCAACAGGTTTGGTTTTGGTTTTTTAACCTATACATGGAGCCCCGGTGGCACAGTGGTTAAGAGCTTGGCTGCTAATGAAAAGTTTGGCAGTTCAAATCCTCCAGGCACTCTTTGGAAAACCTATGCGGCAGTTCTACTCTGTCCTATAGGGTTGCTAGGAGTCGGAATTGACTCCACAGCAGTGGGTTTGGTACAGGAACCTATATATTCTTTTGTATCTTTGAAGTTTCAAACATTTCAGACATTTGAATCTACTGAAAATAAGCACTTGAAATTAAGAAATTTTTAAACAGTGGCAAAAATAAATAAATTCAGCAAGACGTACCTGGCAGGGGGAATTCCTCTCCTATGAAGGTCCACCCTCACTTTCTCTCCCACGTGTCTATAAATCTCCACAATGGCCAATACTGCAGCATCTCTCACCTGTCGAAGAATGTGGTAAAAATAAAATACTTCATCTTACAGTAACACTGCACTAGTAGCCCATTTACCAACTTGAAGCTCCAGTGGATTTTATTGCCTGTAAGCCCCTTGGAGACTATCACAGCAGGTCATTAGCCAAAACCATGAGAGCCTGCCAAGAAACCTCTAGAGAATCCTCGGGAAAGGTTTTTACCGAAATCTAACAAATTTGTAATTAGAAGTTACTGATTTGGCCTTCAAAAAATTTTCAAGTTATAACAAGATGCTGAAAAAAAAAAAAAAAAAAAAAACACCAATAGTTGTCTGAATACAAATTATTAACAAGGTTAATATATTTTCCTTGAATAAAACTGCCTTTCAAGAATGTGGCCTAAAGACAAGAATTTGGACAACAGTTCACTGTCAAAGAACACCTGGAGAGTCAGCAGAAATCTCTCTTCTCAACCTCCTGATGGGAGCCAGGGCATGAAAGAAAGGAAAACCTTGCCCAGGGTACATTCAATATGCCCAAGCCGTGCCAAAGGTTACAGTCAAGACTGAACTCCACCAGGAGGGATGAGACCTAGAACACATCCCTGAAATTCTGCCTACAGTGTGTGCAGCTCAGATAAAGAAGTTCCCAACGTGTGATAAAGCACTGGCACAAACGCTCTGTTAAACAGTTACGACTGCCGCAAGCAGCAGCCATATTCAGGAATGATGAAAGGAAGTGGACACCCCTCTCCCCACAGTTAACACATAGGAGACTGCAGAAAAGAATCCAACTTCTTTCTTGTTCCGTCTCTAAAACTCAGTAGCTAGCCATTAAATCCCATCTACCATTAATACTAGACAAATAGCTGACAAACTTAACCAATTTATGGGAATATAATACGTTCTTTTTAAAAATTAACTTTGGTGGGTCTAAAAAAAATGAGGCAAGATCTTAATTTCACCCCCCTCCACCCTGCTTCCTCTTTTTTTTCAATGGGGTAAGAGCACCAGTAAAGAAAGAGAGACCCCAAAAGTCAATCCTGAAACAGAAAACAATTTTTACCTGACTGTTGGAATCTCCAAACAGGACACATAAATGTGGTACCAACTTGCTGAGAGCTAATGGCTGAGCTCCAAAACTAAAAATAATTTTGAGGAAAAAAAATTGTTTTAATCAAACAGTAAACCAAAAAATCTTTATCCTTTTTTCTTGTCTGTATCAATAAGACAAATATCATGGTAGAGAGCATGGACACCCGTCATTAAAACATGACGGGCAGGAGACACAAGCAAAAAATAATTCTACCCAATGTGAAACATACAAATGTAAATAATAATTGAGACTGATAACTGTCAACACAAGACATGACCCAGCAAAACGTTCAACCTTGAACATAATGGCACGCTTAAACCTAGTGATCTACCAGTCATCTAAGCTCAGAAGAAAATCAGAGTTACACATAAATTCCCGTTCTAATGAAATGTTAAAGGAAATACGAATGTAGTAAATGAAAAGATCTTTATGTATGCTTATTAATGTTTTGATGAGTCATGGGGTGACAGCAAAGGACAAGCGTGTCAAAAACCATGTAAGTTGTGCAGACAGAATGCACTCACAAACTCTACACGGCAGAAAGGACCACAGAGGAGTTAAATAAAACAAATGAAGGTACAGTTAGAGAAAAGGAAGTAACAGGAAAAGTTGAAAGCTACTACTTATTACCTATTATGTTGCACAGAACCTGAAAAAAAAAAATCTAGAATGAGAACAAAAGTCCCCAGCTTACTATTTCTTCAGACTGGCCATCCTGAGCTCTGTGATATCTACACAGTCAGAGCCCTGCACACCGATACCAGATCTGTCTCTAGCTACCTGGGAGAGTCTTGTTCAGTCTATGATTTTGGTAGCCACCAAAGCTGCTCTAGGAAACCTAGGGCCAATTGGCAAGAGAAAGATACAGAGACAGACAGAGACGCAAACAAAGAACAATGACTACAATCTCTGAAATCTCACTGAACTAAAAACAATTTCAAATCACCAGCACAGAAATGGGTCCTATGTTATCAGCTTAGCAGTTATATGACCATCTACTTAGTGGCTACTGTTAATATACCAAAGAAAAAAAAGAAACCAAGAAAGAAACACCTCTTATCACTGAATGATAATCTAAAAGTAACAACATAAACAATAACGACATACACACAAAAAAATAAAGGCATCAAATAAAAACTCTTGTGCCAGAATTCAATTAATAACTATTTAAAAATTTCATAGCTATTTCCATAGCTTTCCCTGAGCTTTGTGATATGGATTTTTTTTTATGAAAAATAAAAAACATAATAAGGCCATTTTAATTAATCATTAAACTTACATGTTTAAGGTCTCAACAAGACACAGACAGACACCTTCTCGTGATCGAAAATTCTTGTGCTTAAAACCAGAAGCCAACTGCTCCCAGATGTACTGTTTGAAAGAAAAGTAAACATGTATAACAAAAAAATTAAATTACTCATGTTGTCATCTTTTACCTCTTTCCAACCTTATCACCAATCTCTTACCAACCTTACTGGTAACTGAATTTTCTCACCAGTCACTTCACTTGTCTGCTACGTACAAGAAGGATTCTAAGCCAAATTTGTACTCCACTTGCTCTCACCCATTTTTTGGTATCTTAATCTTGTGTTTAGTTTTTATTTATATAACACTTTCACTTATTCTCAGAAAAACCGTGTCCTATATCTAAACACCTTAGAATTTTCAAGGACACAGCATTTCTCCTAAGCTTTCGAAACCTTCAACAACAATGCTACTATCTCAGTAGTCCAGGAAGCATGTAGGATGTCCAACATTTCCTAGCAACTGGCTATAGACTGTCACACAGAACAGGCTTTTTCAACATTTTATAAATTAGTCTATTCTTTTAATACTGGGTTCAAATACATAAAAGTATTTGGGCAAATCATTTTCTGGCTAAAACAAAAAACCAAACCCATTGCCTTCAAGTTGATTCCGACTCATAGCAACCCTAAAGGACAGAGCAGAACAGCTCTGTAGGGTTTCCAAGGCAGAATGCCACATCTTTCTCCTGCGGAGCACCTGGTAGATTCAAACTGCTGACCTTTTGGTTAGTAGCCGAGCGTTTAACCACTGTGCCACCAGGGCTTCTATTTTATGGCTACCTATTATAATTTTCTTTTGGAATAAGCATTTATAAAATATAAAAATAATCCAAAACAAGTACATGAGTTTGGTGTAAGAAGGAATCCAACTTTACTTTTCCAAACACAAAGATAATTGTTCTAGTCCATCCTTCCTCCACATTTAGAAACACCACCTTTACTATTTACTAAATTCATTTATATCTATTCTATGCCTCTTTCTGCACTTTTGACTCATTTCTACTAATGTGTTTTCTCTCTTCCTGTCAAACTTTTTGGAAGGTAACTTGAAAGTTTATATAAAAATCTTAGCTGTGACTAACATAACTCAGCAACACCATCTCTAGAACTTTAGTCTACAGAAATATTTAAACCCAAAGATACATGTACAAGGATGTTTCTTACAGTACTTTTTGCAATAAAAGAAAGTAAAAGGCAACTTAAAGTATGACTCAATAAAATATCAAAGGATATCCACACCAAACTACAAAGATTTAGCTGGGAAGTGTACAGTAGCTGGGAAGACAATTCACTTCCACAATTCATTACTATCTGGATTTTATACAAAATACTACAATTTTTACACTGCATTTTAAATGATATCATATTATTATGCATATTGTATTTTCTGGGTTTTTTTTCCACTTAATATAAGCTACTCTTTAAATCTTTGTATATGTGTCAATTTATTTTTGCTCTGCTTTCAAAACACCTCTATAAGGACACAAATTATTCCTATTATATTCATACAATGCAAGTCATTGTCATAGAATATATGCCTTATATAATTAGTAACCACCTGCTAAAATAAAAATGTTTCTTCCTGTCTCTGTTGCAAAATTTAACAATATAACATTCACAGTTCTCAAAATAAGCCCTCTCAGTAAACGTTGATAACTTGCATATAAAGAAAACCAAAAAATGCTAAAGTATAATATAGTCAGTATATTGTCTTAAAACTATGGGCTAGCTTAAAAAAAAAAAACAGCATGGAAGAGTAGAAAATAAGAAAAAGAAAACTGAAAGTCCAAAAACTTAAATATTGATATTTACTATAAATTTCAATTCTTTCAGAGCATTAGTAACAACTCATTCTTTAAAAAAAATTCTGCTATAATGCCCCCTGGAGCTTTACTGACTGGCTGTGATTCTATCTACCTTTGTTGACATTTCATCATTAATTAGCAAGATGTGAATTTTAAAAGTGAGGCCTACCACAGGTGGTGCTACTTGATCCATCAACTTCAATATCAGATTCACAGCTTCGTCTCGAACCTTGTCTTTGGCATCTCCCATTCTGTCTATTAAAGCTACAATAACTAGAGAGAGGGAAAGAGGAAAAGTATAAATATTTACTAACTTACCTCCATCACAAACTATAGTTTACAAAATTACAAGCGGCAATTATTTCCATAAATGAAAAGTTACAAGGTAAGCAAATTAATTGTCTTAAGTTCTTTACTCATGAGTCTGATCAAAGAAAAATAACTGAGAAAGAAGTTTCAGAAGAACATATACAGGATGACTCCACTTATAATCATGTTCAAAACTACAGGTAAAAGTAAATATTATTTCATTTAGGGATGCACATAGATGGTTAAGCTGTACAGACGAGCAGAGGAGGGACTACACCAAAGGTAAGGATGATGGTTTCCTCTGGGAGAGGGAAGGACAGGGTGTCATCAGGAAATGCAGAGAGGGAGCTTCTAAGGAACTGGAGAGTCCTATTTTCTTGACCTGGGCACAGTCTGGTGTTGGTTTTATCATTATTCTTTAAACTGTACATTTTTGATACGTATTCTTCTGCACATATGACATATTCCACAACAGGCCCCTGAGGTTGAAGACTTTCCCTACTACCTCCTAGTCTTGGCACTACTCCATAAAAGGAGGCAGGAAAGACAGGTCAGAGTCCAGTCTGGTAGAGTCTCCATGAACAAGGGTTCTGTAACTGTAAGTGAACAATCCACCACAAAGAAATTACATCTTGTACGGGGGGGGGGGGATTCCGAGGGGACAGGTTCTAAAGTCAGCTCACAGGGCAAAAATTTCTCATAGTCAGAATTATCTTTCTGTAATCCACTTAGTGTAGTGTTATTAGGTATGTGACCTTGAACAGGTTATTGAACCTCTTTTTGTCTTTATTTTCTCACCCATAAATGGGGTTAGCAGTACTCACCTCAGAGAATAACTATAAGACAATACATGCAAACAACTCAAAAAAAAAAAAAAAAAAAACCCAAACCATTGTCGTCAAGTTGATTCTGACCCATAGCGACTCTATATGACATAGGAGAAATGCCCCATAGGGTTTCCAAGGAGAGGCTGGTATATTTGAACTGCCATTCTTCTGGTTAGCAGCCAAGCTCCTAACCACCACGCCACCAGGGCTCCGTAAATAACTCCAAGAGTGATTACTATCCAGCATGTTCAAAAGCAAAGAAATTAACTTTTTTTTCTCTTTTGATATTTCAGCTACGTCCTTCCTTTTTTCTGAGGCAATGGAGGCCTGAGGTGTAGTTTAAACAGAGGAAGGAGGAAAAAGGAAATCAGGAAAAGGATTTTTCTCTAGTTTATTTATACCAAAAAACAAAAAACCCAAACCTGCCATCATCAAGTCAATTCTAACTCATGGCAATCCCATGTGTTTTAAAGTAGAACTGCCCCATAGGGTTTTCTTGGCTGTAATCTTCATGGAAGCAGACTGCCAGGCCTTTCTTCCATGGCACTGCTGGGTGGGTTTGAACCGCCAGCCTTTAGGTGCCACCTAGGAACCTCAGTTTATTTACAGACACAATATAATTAAATGTGTAAGTGATCTGATACTAATATATTTGTCCAAAATGTAATAAACAATTTGATGTTGTAATGATCAACAACACTTAAGGAAAAAATAAATTACTTTCTTTTTGAAAGAAAATGACTAGGGTGAGAAGCCAACTATTACAAATACAGTGAGATCATTCCAAAACCTAAGACTAATCAAGGAAATGATTGTGCAAGAAAAAAAGCTCTCGCCATAAAAATCATGAGGCAACAGAAATATCCGTCAGTGGGAACAATATAAACCTTCGCATTTTGCTTAGTTAGGTTAATACTAGAGGAATTTATCGACATCTAGAAGATTGGCAATTGTGGGACTCTGGTTCTAACTTCTGAGAGGCAAAAGACAAAAGAAAAGGCTATGAAAATGTTAGACATCACTACGTGCTAAGCCCTGTATTATCTCTAATCCTCACGACAATCCTACGCAGTAGGGTAGGCTCGTTGGAGAGAGAAGGCCCAGCGGGATCAAAAACTTGCCCAAGGTCACACAAATAACAAGTGGTGAAACCAGGGTTTAAATAACCTAGGCAATGTAAGGTCCCAGTTATAACCACTTCTGTTTACTTGTATGAGGTGTCTGGGTGTATGCGTGTCTTTGTTTTAACAACCATGTAACAATAACGGGGGGAAAAAAAAGGCACTTGATTCCTGAGAGCTGGGATTTACCTACAAAAGGAAAATAATGTTGGCCCATGCGAGGCTCACCTGAATATTAAAAACAAGTTCTGTAAAACAAGAACAACAAAAACAAAATAACCTCACACTACAAAAACTTAACATTACAGTTAGTTATTAAACAAAAAAATTCATCATTTGTTTTGCATTGGCATCCCTTTTCCACACAAACTCTCTTGGAGTTTTAATCCCAGCTCTACCAGTAATTAATTATGTTGTTGCTGCCAGGTGCCGTTGAGTCAGTTCTGACTCATAGCAATCCTACGTACAAGAGAACAAAACACTGCCCAGTCCTGTGCCATCCTCACGATCATTGCTGTGTTTGAGCCCATTGTTGCAGTCCCTGTATCAATCCATCTCGTTGAGGCTCTTCCTCCTTTTCGCTGACCCTCTACTTTACCAAGCATGATATCCTTCTCCAGGGACTGGTCCCTCCTGTTAGTATGTCCAAAGTACGTGAGATGAGCTATATAAGAATAGTAAATGTCTCTGAACTTCAAAGCCTCCTTGTCTATAAAACAAGGAAGGAAACTAATACTAGGCCTGCACCTCACATGACTAATGTGAGGATGAAGTAACATGAGACAGAAGCCCCTGTGCCAGGCCCATAATAAGCACCCGAAAGTGTCAGCACTCTTCCTTAAAGATATGTGTATTATATAATGACCACTGAACTATCATTAAATATGACGAACGTTCAACAGGTATTTACTGGACATCCAGGACAGTTTTTCACCCTGCTGTTAGTTGCTGTTGGGTCGACTCCCACTCCAGGCAACCTTATGTATATAACAGAACGAAGACTCTCAATAAGAATTTGTGAAATAAGTGAACCAATCTATCACAGACTGGAATTTGCATAGTAAAACATGGACCAAGTGTGAAACCTATCTGTTAGCATATTTTATTCTCTTAGCGTGGAATAAGATGAAAACCATTTTATCAGATGCAGAACTGATAACCAGGAATCCTGACTCTTCTAACAGTCTTTCTATAACACCATTCAGGTTAAAACTGTCTGTCTCATAAGATTGGTAAAATACAAGATCCTTTATTGAATTAGGAGCCCTGGTGATGCGGTGGTTAAGAGCTACAGCTGCTAACCAAAAGGCGGGCAGTGCCAATCCACCAGCTGTTCCATGAAAACACTATGGGGCAGTTCTTCTCTGTCCTATAGAGTCGCCATGAGTCAGAATCAACTCGACGTCAACGGGTTGGTTTAGGTTACTGAATTCAGTTATAAAATCAGGGTTAGCGATCAGTGATAAATGTGAACTGTGTATCTTCTTTGTTTGAAAATTTTATTTCTCCATAATATATGTGGTCATGAAAGAAAAAAAATTAAACTATATTACTATGCAAATATATGATTATATATTAAAGTATTACATTAATAGAGCTCTTACCCTTTTGGAACTATGTCTAAAACTAAACGTGACTCTCAATTTTTCTAAAACATCCATTCACTTTTAATGCAAAAGGGCATTAAAAATACCTATAAAGATAGTCTAAAACCTAAACACATCGAAATAATATCAAACTGAGTTACACATTATCTAGGGTTATATTACCAAAAAACTTCCAAAACATAATTTAATCTAACTCTTTCCTCTTACAGAGGGGGTCCTCAAGTTTAGCTGGCTTGACTCAGGATTGAGACAGGGCAGAACAAGAAAGCTAACTAACCCCGTGGACTCGGTCCCATTCTGTGCTCTTGAAGAGCACGCAGATGGACTGCCTATCTTGCAGAGCTGTTATGCAAACTAGAAATAACGTGTGGAAAATCTTTCCAACGTGTAAAGCAGATAAGCCCAGTAAATGGGTAAAAGGTTGGACATTCAATAAATGGTAGCTAAACTGTGATGAAATTTCCTATTATACCACGCTGACTCGCAACTTAATAACGAGTTCAAGCTTCATGAAGGACAATGATGAGCACTTACAGATCAAAGTGAAAACAGTATTGACTAATGGGATATTCAAGCAGAGTAGGAGATTTAAAACAAACTATATATACAAGAATTTGTAGATATGTGCCATCTAGCTCAGCAAACACATAAGAAAAACACTAATGAACAAATGCAATTTAATGTAATTCATTAAGTATTTAAGAGCATAGGAATCATGGAGTAAAGAAATTCAGTACAGCATAAGGTTAATCTGAAAAACTCCCAGACATCGGAATTGAAACTTTAAAAGGAAAAGAACGAACCATGGAGAACAGGAGAGGATCTGAAAACAGAAATAACAACACAGCAGAGGCATAAACAAGTTAAGCTAGAAACGAGAGTGAGCAAGTTTCTGACTAGCTGGAGCAGAAAAAGAGGCCTGATGAAGATCACGAAGAACGAAGGCTGCCGAGATGGAGAAGGGGAACACTTGGTGCGAGAACTTGAACACCAAGGACGGCAAAGCAGAAGGAAGGGGCGGAAGGAGAACTGTGCTGGGAGTCAGCAAACTAGGATTATGGTCCCAATACTCTTACTACCTCGATGTGAGTAGTCAGTACGTCAAGCCCCATCTGGCTCTCCTTGTGGCTGGAAAATAAGTGACAGGACTACCTAATACTAGAATTAGGCTCGATTCGACAATGTCATCTTTAACAACTAGTAACACAGAGCTTCTACTACAGGGCAGGGGTCACAAACACAAATGCTTACAGCTAGGGAGGTACCAGAAATGCAGAAACCGAGCGAGGTCTAAGAACTGCAGTATTCCAACCTTACTGCATTATGACCAATACTCGCAGTTATGAGGGACAAGAGGAGGTGGACTTATGTAATTAAGAGCTCATGCCCCAGCCCAAAGGGAAGCTATGACACAGCTTCAGCCAATAATCACATGCAGGAATCGAAGGCCAGGGATGCCACCTCAGCCAGAGTTTTCAAGATAAACCAGAAATATAAATTTTTATGTGTAACTTCCCAATTTTAAACACTGGCTGTAAATGTTTTAAAACAAAGAAAGAAGCAAATAAGATGGGTTTTTAGGGTAGTTTTTAACATCCACCACAGGACACTAGATAGGAGAGTGACAGAGTAAAAATCTTTTCAGACTATATTTATACAAAGGATGAATTTGAACAGGGTATTAATTATTAGGGGAATAAAAAAGATAGGAAAATCTACTAGGATGTCTGTGCTAAAAGGGCAGCTAACCAAACAAAAAAACCCATTGCCATGAAGTCGATTCCGACTCATAGTGACCCTATAGGACAGAGCAGAACTGCTCCACAGGGTTTCCAAGGAGCGGCTGGTGGATTTGAACTGCCGACCTTTTGGTTAGCAGCTGAGCTCTTAATCACTGTGCCACCAGGGCTCCAAAAGGGTAGCTAGAAAATAAAAATAAGAGAAGAAACTGGCAGAATTTGCTGATGTACCGAGCATAAAGAAAAAAGTTGATCAAAGATATTTGAAAATAAGTGGGATGATACACTGACATTTTGAGGTATTAGTTTAACACACTGAAAAATCACTCTTTAACATCTGAAATTACCCTGAGACATGTTGCTGTATTGTCTTTTTTTTTCACTTAATTTTTTAACTTTTATTGTATTTGACAAAATATTGGTCTGCAATATTTTCATTGGCAGTAAAAGAACTGTTCCTTCAACAAAGTCTGAAAAATGCTGGTACAAGTTATGTTTTAAATTTTCATATTTTACAAAAAAGTAAAAGATGCAGTAAAAGATCTGAAAATATTAGGTAAAAATCTATTTAGCAGTACATCCAGCAAGTTTTTTGCTTTTCTTTGTCTTCTGCCTCAAAGGGGATGTAATTATCTATTTTAATACGCTTAAAATCTTTTATGGCTGGGCAAATTAAATGCTAAACAGTAGACCTCTGAGTTGTACAAACTTCTGTTTTTGCATTTACAGAAAACTAATTATCTAAGATAAAAAGTCACTATGGATTTTACTAGTTAATAAAATATGTTTTCACCAAAAAAAGTCACTATGTTAATCCTCACAATGACTTTTTAAATAAAGTTAACTTACCCATTGCTACATAGGATTTAAATCGTGTCGATAATCTATCCACAAAGGCACTTAAAATTTCCAATCCCATTAATGATACCTACAGACAGAAAGAAGTTTTAATGAATACAAATTACACATACATACTTTAATATCCACTTAAATTGTTGACATTTAAAGACATTCACATAATATACTACTGAGTTTTCTAAAAAAATAAGGAGATCGAAGTATTCAGGGATAAACTGTCATGAGTTTGGGGCTCCTTATTCTCTAATGGTTTGATAATAACACCAATAATAATGCATAAATATGAATTCTCAGTTACCTTTGTAGGCATTATCATTAATGCATCAGGTAAATACAAATTAAGACTACAATGAGATACTACTACGTACAGCATAAAGCTGAAATTACGAAGGCTGACAATACCAAGTGTTGACACAGATATGAAACAATCAGAATTCTTATACATTCCTGGTGGGAATGTAAACAGATACAATCACCTGATAAAACTCTTTGGCAGTATCTTTAAAGCTAGAGCCAAAAAAAATTTTTAGAAAGGAAAAAAATCCAAATGTGCGTTGATAGAAGAATGGATAAATAATTGTATATTTATACAATGGAATAATATACAGCAAGAAGAAAGAACTATTGCTAGTATTTGTGCTAGATACAACAATAGATAAATCTGAAAGACATTAATATTCAGTGAAGAGGAACCAGGCACAAAGAATGCATGCCGTTCCACACCTTCCACATTGATAAAGTTCAAGAACAGGCAAAACTTATGTATGATGGTAAAAGTCAAAACAGGGGTTTACCTCAGTGAGCTTAACAACTAAAGAGACTGAATTAGTAAACAAAAAACTATCCACAAAGAAAAGGCTAGGCCCAGATGGCTGAATTCTACCAAACATTTAAAGAAGAATTAATACCAATTCTTTACAAACTCTTCAAAAAAAAACAGAAAATACTTCTCACCTCACTCATGAGGCCACTATTACACTGACAACAAAATCGACACGAGAAAAATACAGACCAACCCGAGAGTATGGCCCCAAGACACCCTTTTAGCTCAGTGATGAAGTCACTTCTGAGGTTCACCGTACAACCAGGGAGTGGACAGCCCCATAAAACCAAATGGGACTAATGAGGCACAGCAGTCCAGGGACAGGGGCTAGAAGGCAGAAGGGGACAGGAAAGCTGGTGATAGGGAACCCAAGGTTGAGTAAGGATAGTGTTGATGTGTTGTGAGGTTGTTAACCATTGTCATAGGGTCACAGGTGTACTGTTTAATGAGAAACTATTTTGTTCTGTAAACCTTCATCTAAAGGGAGAATAGCAGACAACTGGAAGAGCGTAGTCAATGTCACTGAACTGTGCATGTAGAAATTTTTGAAACGGTGTATCTTTGACTATGTATATTTTCACTAAAAAAAAAAGGTCAAGAAGGGAGAGGGGTTGACATGTCATGGGGTTGTTAACCAGTGTCTTAAAACAATGTGTACTACTGTTTCATGAGAAACTATTTGTTCTGTAAACCTTCACCTGAAGTACAATTAAAACAAAAAAAAACAAAAATACAGACCAATATTGCTTATAAATAGACACACAAAAATCCTCAACAAAATATGAGCAAACCAAATCCAGAAACATAAAAAGAATTATACACCATGAACAAATAGTTTATCCCAGAAATTCAAGGCTGTTTTCACACTAAAAAAAAATCAATGAATGTACTATAATGCATCATAGAATAAAAAATAAAAACCACATAGTCATCTCAATAGAAAAGCATTTGACAAAAATCCAACACCCTTTCAAGATAAAAACACTCAACAAACCAGGAAAAAAGAAAAACTTCCTCAACTTAATAAAGAGCATCTACAAAGACCACAGCTAACACACTTAACAGGAACCCTGGTGTCGCAGTGGTTAAGAGTTCAGCTGCTAACCAAAATGCTGGCAGTTCGAATCTATCAGAAGCTCCTTGGAAACCCTATGGAGCACTTATACTCTGCCCTATAGGGTCACTATGAGTCGGAATAGACTCGATGGCAACGGGTTTTTTGTTTTCTTCTTTTCTATCATACTTAACAGTGAAAGACTGGATGCTTTCCTCTTAAGATCAGGAACAAGACAAGGATGTCTGATCTCACCGCTTCTATCCCACACTGTACTGCAGGTTCAGTCAGGTCGATTAGGGATGAAAAAGAAATAAAAGGCATCCAGATGGAAAGGAAAAAGTAAAACTACCTCTATTTGCATGACAGAAAATTGCTATATACAGAAGATCTTGAGGAAGTCACTAAAATACTACTAGAACGAATAAACTAGCCCAGCAAGGTTGCAGAATACAAAATCAATACACAAAACCAATTTTATTTTTATACATTCACAGTGAACAATCCACAAATGAAATTTCAAAATTCTATTTAAAACAGCATCAAAAAGAATAAAACAGTAATAACAAAAAGTACAAAACTTACAGTCTGAAAACTACAAAACATTGCTGAAAGAAATTAACAAGCTCTAAATAAATGGAAAACTATCCCATGTCAATGGATCAGAAGGCAATACTGTTAAGATGGCAGTACTCTCCCAAACTGATACACAGATTCAAGCTAATTCCTATTAGAATCCTGCCTGGCTTCTTTTTTTTTACATTTTTTTATTTTTACTGGACGTCAGGTGAACGTTTACAGAACAAACAGTTTCTCATGAAACAGGAGTACACATTGTTTTATGACATTGGTTAACAACCCCACGACATGTCAACCCTCTCCCTTCTCGACCTTTTTTTTTTTTTTCGCCTGGCTTCTTTTTAGAAACTGGCAAGCTGACATTAAAATTCACATTGAATTGCAAGGGACCCAGCATAGCCAGAACAATCGTTAAAAAGAATAGTTGGAGGACTCATACTTCCCGAGTTCAAAACTTACTACACAAAGCAACAGTAATCAAAACAGTGTGATGCTGGCATAGGGATAAACATACACATCACTGTTGTTGTTAGTTGCCACTGAGTCCACAGCAACTCATGGCGACCTAGTGTATGCCGGAAGGAAACACTGCCTGGTCCTGCACCATTTTTCATGACTGTTGGTGTGTCAGAGTCCGTTGGCGCGTCTACTGTGTCAATCCATCTCACTGAAAGTTTCCCTTGTTTTGGCTGACCCTCTACTTTACCAAACATGATATCCTTTTCTAGTGATTGGTCTTTCCTGATGACGTGTCCAAGGTAATCAAGTCAAAGTCTCACCATCCTCGCTTTAAGAAGCTTTCTGGTTTATTTCTTCTAAGACTGATCTATTTGTTCTTCTGACAGTCTACAATATGTTCAATGTTTTTCGCCAGCACCACAGTTCAAATGCTTCTATTCTTTTTCTGTCTTCCTTCTTCATTGTCCAGCTTTTGCTTGCATATGAGGCGACTGAAAAGATCATGGCTTGGGTCAGGCTCACCTTAGTCATCAGAGTGACATCTTTGCTTTTGAAAACGTTAATAAGGTCTTTTGCAGCAGATTTGCCCAATATAATACACTGTTTTATTTCTTGACTGCTGCTGCCATGTGCACTGACTATCGATCGAAATAGAATGAAATCTCTAACAACTTCAATTTCTTCATTTATCATAATATTTGTTATATATATGTATAAATACATATTAATTCAATAGAATGAAGAGTGCAGAAATAAACTCATTTTGTCTGTGGTCAACTGATTTTGGATAAGGGTGCCAAGACCATTCAATGAGGAAAGAATAATCTTTTCAAAAGATAGTGTTGGGACAACTGGATATTCACATGCAAAAGAATAAAGTTAGACGCTTACCTCACACCATATATGAAAATTAACTCAACATCTCAAAAAAAGTGTTTTTTAATTAGCTCAAAATGGATCAAAGATCTAAATTTAAGAGCTAAAACTATAAAACTCTTAGAAGAAAACAGACATAATCTTCACGGTCTTGGCAATGCTTTCTTAGAAATGATACCAAAAGCACAAGCAACAAAAGAAAAAAATATATAAACTTGACTTCATCAACATTAAAACCTTTCGTGCTTCAAAGGACACTATCAAGAACGTGAAAAGACAATCCACAGAACGGAAGGAAATACTTGCAAATTACATATCTCGTAAGGGACTGTTAACTAGAACATATGGAAAACTCTTACACTCAATAATAAAAACAAGTAACACAATTAAAAATGGGTAAAGGATCGGAATAGACATTTCTCCAAAGAAGATATACAAGGGCCAATAAGCACATGAAAAGATGCTCAACATCACTGTTCATCAGGCAGATGCATATCAAAACCACAATTAGATGCCACTTCACACCCACTAGGATGGCTAGAATCAAAAAGACAGTAACTGTTGACAAATTTATGGAGATATCAGAACCCTCCTACACTATTGGCAGGAACATAAAATGGTATAAACCTGTTGCCACTGAGTCAATTCCAACTCATGGCCACCCTACAAAATGGTATAGCCACTTTGAAAAAGTCTGGCAGTTCTTCAAACAGTTGAACACTGATGTTGTGTGCCATTGAGTCTATTCTGACTCACAGCGACCCTATAGGAACAACAACATATTTCTTTCATGTCTGTACTCAAATGTCACCTGACTTCCTTGGCCACCCAAAATGGAGACCCATCTTACCCTAATTCTTTCAACACGTTGATTTGCAAACACTTGTTACCTCAAATTATCTAATTTGTATTCCTGTCTGTCTACCTCTTTCTAATATGATCTCCATGTGAAAGGGATCTCCTTCTCCCATTTACTCATCACCCTCTGAGCAAGGTCTTCAATACCAACTAGTTAAATTTCTAACCACCCACCCCCCAAAACTCCCTATTCCGTTCACTGCTTTGTCTCCAAAGCATTTATCACTATCTAACGTATTATAAATTTTATAATAAAAAATCTTGCTTATTTCTCTCCCCCAACTAGAATCTAACTCCACAAGGTCAGGGATTTGTGATTTTTTTTTTTTTCACTATTGCATCTGCAGTACCTAGAAGAGTGAGTGTCTGTATATAATAGGTCCTCAATAAATATCTGAAGACTGAATGAATGAGCCTTGCTTGTCTTGTTCACAAATGGATCCTCCACATCGAGAACAATGTCCAGCATATAAAAGCCACTCATTATTTGTTAAATCAATAAATGTTATATACTCTGTAAGTTACCACTCGAATTCTGAAGTACTTTCAAAGACAAAAAAATTATTTTAGTCAGCATAATTTAAAATTTAAGTACAATTCTCTTCGTGGTTATGCTCAAAATTTTCTACAATAAGCTTTTTAAAAAAAGAGTGAAATATATTTCATTGTACCTTGAGTAAAAAATGATAACTTAGTTGGGTAACTAAGAAGCCCTGGTGGCACAGTAGTTAAACACTCAGCTGCTAACCGAAAGGTGAGCAGTTCGAATCCACCAGCCACTCCGCAGGAGAAAGATGTAGCAGTCTGCTTCTGTAAAGACTAGTCTTGGAAACCTTATGGGACAGTTCTACTCTGTCCTACAGGGTTGCTATGAGTCGGAATTGACTCAACAGCAATGGGTTTGGTTTTTTGGTTTATTTAGTTGGGTAACTTAGTTTGTAAAACTAACAGACTACACAAAAAAAGACCAGACTTACTGGTCTGACAGAGACTGGAAGAACCTCTGAGACTATGGCCCCCGGACACTCTGCTAACTGAGAACTGAAACCATTCTCAAAGCTCATTTTTCAGACAAAGATTAGACAGGCCTATAAAACAAAAAATAACACACGTGAGGAACATGCTTCTTAGTTCAATCAAATACACGAGCCCAAATGGGCAACTCCCGCTTAAAAGCAAGACAGGAAGGCAGGAAGGGACAGGAACTGGAAAAATGGACACAGGGCGCCCAGGGTGGAAAGGGGGAGTGTGCTGTCACGTTGTGGGGATTGCAACCAATGTCACAAAACAATATGGATGTATATTTTTTCAATGAGAAAGTAACTTGAGCTGTAAACTTTCACCTAAAGCACAATAAAATTTAAAACATAAATAAAATGCGAAGAAAAAAAACTAATAGACTAATAAGAATACTCTCTCTCTCACAATGTCAGGAAAAGAGTTTTTATATTACAGAATTCAGCAGAAAAGAGAGAACTAATGATTCAGGAAGGCAAGTGCAGAATCGATGGATCAACGTCCTTGAGTAGGCAAGAGGGGATGGGATCTACTGCGCATGTGGAGGGATCGGCATTAGTCAGCAACACAGACCATTCATTCATTGTAATGGGAAAGAAGACAGAGACACGGGCACAGCAACAAGGAAGCGTGCAGATTAGGTGGAGGGGGCCTGTGGCAGTTCTCTTGTGCTGCTGAAACTGTCTCAAGCCACAGAATCTAGTGAGAAAATATATATTAAAAAGAGATGAGAATCTAGCACAGACCCCTGATGGATGAAGAAAGACCTGGCAATCTGCGTTTGTAAAGATTTCAGCCTAGAAAACCCTATGGGGCAGTTCTACTCTGTCACACAGGGTCACAACGAGTTGAAAATCAACTGGACAGCACCTAACAACAAAAAGGACCAGCTAAAGGAAAAACAGCACTGAGGAGAAGTAATGCTCAGAACATAAAAGAAAAATGGGTATGCTGTGGTATCATAAGAGCCAAGAGTATGTTTCAAGAGATGGGACTGCCCATCCATCATCCACTTGACAGTACATCTGAGGAGGAAAATGGCCCACAGCCAGTTCACTGCAGCCAGTGCAGAAGGCAGCACATCCACATTCACTTGGGAAGGGAGGCCACCAGGGAGGCCAAACATCAAAGCGCTGACTGTCTACAGAAGCCTACGCCACAGCATAAAAACAACTATTTGGAGTGTGGAGTGTGTACATGCCTTTCTTGCAGGGTGAGTACATTTAGCTGTTTCTTCAAAGGAAATAAGAATAACCCCCAAATGGTAATAATAGATTATTAAACAGTAACTTTTCAAAAAAATAAAACAGCATGTAATAGAGCTCAAGGCAGTTAACTCAAACTGTTCATTTTCCTTGTACATTAAAAGTCAAACCCTTACAAAATGCATATAGGCTTCACCATTAAATCTGCATAATGATTCTGCAGTTTGCCTTTCTTTACTATGTGGATAAAAGCTTTCAAAGAACAGCCTATTCCCTAGGTTATAAGGATATACCGCTAAGAAGGATCTCTTCATTCACAGGAGGTTCAAGCCAACATTTTAAACCAACACTGCCACCAGAAGACTAGAAAGGAAAGTAACTGCCGACAACTACTGTATATACTAATTACAGAATTTTTGTCTAGTCTCCCAACGTGACTACATCAAAGCCAGCCTGCTACCGACTCCAGAAACACTCATTCTTTCCTGCACCTCATCCTTTTATTTTACTCTCAGCATCAGCCAAACCTGCTACGACACGGTTTCAAATCCGAATCAGTCCTCAACTGCGGCAATACAAAACCACAGAGAGCGCTCCATTGCTTTCCGTCGCCAATAAACTACAAGCAAATAAATAACGCCATGAGGTCAGCAACTTTTCATTAGATTTAACGGGAAACGCGATCAGGCACCCGATTAAATCCTAGATGCTTGACAGACGAAGAACACGACCTCCCAGACGTAAAAATTATAAAAGAAAAAAAAAAGAAGAAGAAGAAATCAGGTATTACGTAGGATAAAAAACAGTAATTAGGAAGGGATTAACTTTGACATTTCTTTTCAACTTTAAACAGTGTGCCTTAACGCGCTCTGTCTTGGTCTGGGTGGTGTTTACACAGGTATGGAAAAAGTAAAAAGTCTTCCAGCCCTCTATTTTATGTAAGTTATCACAGATTTTTAAAACCGATCAACACTGCGTCCTAGTCCCGAGTAACTTCGCAACGTGCGATGGAATCGCTAGATTTGTCACAATTGTTCACAAATGTGGAAAAAGTTGGTGGCGGTGGGCAGTCAGTCCCCGCTGGCGTCCGAAAAGGCGGGCTGGCCAGTGGGGGCGCCCCTGCGGTAGGGTCTCTGGGCTCCCCGCCCGGGTGGGTCCGAGCTCCCGGCGCATCCCCGGCGCTCCGGTCCGGGATTAAAGGGCCGGCCGGGGAGGGCGTGCCCGGCCCGGCCGCGCCGCCGCTTACCCGGTAGTTGCTGGAGCCCACCCAGCCGGTGAGCGCGTCGATCGTCTTGCCCAGGCGGCCCAGGTCCTCCTCCAGGTCGGGGATGGCGCCGGGGCTGCCGAGGTAGAGCAGCAGCTCCTGGCCGCCCTGCAGCCGGCCGCCCACGTCCTTCTGCTGCACCTGGGCGCTGAAGTACTCCATGCTGCGGGGCTCCATGGCCGCCGCCGGCCGCCCGCCCGCCAGGGGCCAACT